AAAAAAAAACTTACTTATCACCCGCATTGGACTTTATAGCAATTGTTGTGGGAGCACTTGCCTCACCCGTACTCAAAGAAAATTCTCTGACAGTAAGTACGCCATTAGAGATTGATAAGTAGTATACATGATCATTTACAACGCTCAGTTTTGACCACTGGCTAAAATACTGATATCAAAAGCGATAAAAGCAACAATTTACAAACCTGTCTTGCACACCATGACTCCATTTCAAGTTTCCATGTTTCGAAAAGCAGGATACTTTTTTCGAACTAGAGACAACGAGTGACTGCTCCGTGAGCGCGATACTCGGTTGCACACTGAATCTTCAAATCTCACTATCTGACAAGGTTTTGGAAAGACAAACTCGGTATGAATGGTCTCGCCAAGCGATTTTTGCCACAACAATGCGCCATTCCTCTTGTTCCATACCCTCAGAACTCGACCAACATCGGAAACTGTATAGATGGCTAGAAAATATGCACATATTTTAGAATATTTCTAAATTACCAATTCAAATGTACCTTTATCATCGACAACCATCGGGAGCACAAGACCTTTTGCATCTTCTTGAATTCGTCGCCAAACTGAAAACATCCCTTTAGATTCTACTGAGAAATACGATGAAAGCGGAGGGAGAGGGGGTCCAAAGCAAAAATTAGATTAAACAACAATTTTCCCACCTATCTGGCCCGTATTTGCGGAAAGCGATGCAAAAACATCCTCCTTTGTTGACACCAATAAGCGATCACTCTTTCCGTGAGTGTCGAAGAAAACCCTATGCGGGCAACCGACAAATTGTTGACGCCTAAGTATTGTAAGATTAAAGATGATGTAAGAACGAAACAAGCGAAAATACAGAATGCTACTCACCAGTCAAACTTCCCCACTTGATCCTCGAAAAGTGCTTCACACGACCTCGGTAAAAGCAAACAAAATAACCAACAAAGTTTACCCAGCATAGATTACCTGACACATAAATAACTTACTAGAAGATTTTTCACTCTGAAATGCTGTCGTAAGATATCAACGGCAACAACGATTCCATAATCTCCAAAAATGAAGGGGTAAACTATTTATTACAACAACATATAGGATGATCCATTGCAAAAAATATCAATAATTAAACTTCAACAATTGAGATACACATCTGATAAATAATGACTCCTTGAAATATATACATCTCAATGATCTTTATCCCTCACCGAAAAGTTGGCTTGATTTCTGTCGTGATAACTGCCACTCCGTTGCTTTCTTAAAAGAAAAAGATTACAGAGGTTAGAGAGGAAAAGGCTGAAACAACTACCTATACTGTTCATAGGGATCCATCGCGCTTCCCAAACCTCTATACTGATCTTGTCTGTCGCGAACTTCGCCACCGCCAATTGGTTCGATAATTCCCTACAGGTTTAAAGGTAGTTTCTAGAACGTAGAAGAAAATCGAAACGAATACCTGTTTTGAGGCTCCTAACCCTGAGCCGCTCCAACCCATTTTCTGCATAAGCTGTGCTCCTTTGTTAGCGCCGGAAATTGGAGGCGCTGGCAGACGAAATCCGGCTGTACCACTGAAAATGATTGGATGCAAATTTACTTCAACATTAGCAAGACAAAAGAGCCAATTCACGGCTTTCAACTACGAAACGGAGACTTACAAAGATGGTGGGGATGGTGAACGTCTGGTGAATGACGGTCGTGCTCCAGGCGATAACGAGCGCGAGCGAGACCGAGATCTAAAATACCAGTGTTTCTTACATATATAGACTGGCTCTAAAATTACGCAATTTTGCGGTAAAATGAGCGTAGGACTATATTGAAAACGAATGAACTAAAAAAATACTTTCGCCTGGGCGAGTACGAACGGCTTCTTGAACGGTATCGGGATGAGGAACTCGATCCGGTAGATGATGAAGAGCTGGATCTGGATGACCTTGAGGAATACGACGATGATGAACTGCTACGACTACGTCTGCAAAGTCAGAATCAAGCGTAAGACTGAAAACATGCAAAAATTACCAAAAAGGGGCACGTACCTCGAACGGTCATTGACTTTCTTCTCAGCTGGGGATTGTGGAGATGATGAATCGCGCTTCTCCTTATCTTTGTTGGCCAAGGCAATTCTGTATGAGAGGAGAGAAAAGGTTGGACTGACGTTTTACCTTTAGAATAGGAGAAAATCCAAACATACTTTCTCATTTCTTCATACTTCCTTTTTATCTCGGCATTTATGTCATCCTGCATAATTTTCAGTTCCTCTTCGGTTGGTTTGTTGTCGACAAGATCGCCAATTGTTTTGTTTTCGCTCTGCA